GTTAGCATCAAGTCTCTTATGCGTATTTACTTTCAGAATTTCATTTTGTATGTGACGAGTCAAATTCATGGAGAGTTAACGCACCCTGTGTCTAACCTAAGCAGCCACAAGATGAATTTATGCGTTCAACACTGATTTTACTTATGACAATTCTCCAATTTTCCAAATCTCCTAGCATTAAGGCAAGTTTGTCACAAAAATAATTAATGTTTTTTGCTCAAAATAACTCATGATTAGATATTAGTTATACGTATTTATTCTTGTCGTATTTACTATACTTCTTCTTCTTCTTCTTCTTCTTCTTCTTCTTCTATGGCTCTCCGGTCTGTATTCGGTCCATGGCCTCCTCAATTCTCCTCTTCCATTCGGTCCTCTGACAGATCCGTCTGTCCGAGGTTGAGGTTTCGAAACATCTTCCTTTTTACGGTGCAAGGTTGTTAGCCTTGCGACCAACCCCCAACCTGGAGGACCAGGGTACCTGTCTTAGTCTGACCTCTCCCCCTAGGGAGGCCTTACCAGTAGCTCTTGGGGTCTCTGAGGTACTCGAGCCCCACCACCACAAGGTGCAGTTCAGTAATCCTGTACGTAGCATTGCTGAAGCACTTGCGTGTGACTCTCGTTGCAGGACAAAGTGTACCGGCTGAGTGAAGAGACCCGTCACTCGCCCAATGACATCCAAGTTTACACAGTGGACGACTTGGAGGCGGTACTGCGTCAGGATGATATCAGCAATGATGTCCTGCCATCTATCGTGCACGAGCAGACCCAGCGTCCGAAATTGAACAAGCATCGACGGATGAGGAAGGGGGCGCGTACGTAAATCACCGTTTTTGAAACTATAGTCTGCGGACCAGTGCCGTTCGTTGGCTTAATTTGTGCAGGTCTGCAAATTCTACTTGGTGAGGTCTTCCTGAATAAAACTGAGCACCTATTTACTTTGAGTATGAAAATATTTTGCAATGAATTTAATCAGTAGATTTTGGATGATGGACAGATACATTAAAATGAATTATTATCCATTGTTCAGGACCGTTCTGTAAAAGTTGATGGTTGATTAGATGATATTCTGTTTTTATGGAACTCAGAGGTCGCAGAATTTCACCATTTTACCATATCCTGAGCCAGTAGAGTTCAGTTTAAACACTCATTCTAAATTTATCACACGCCAATCTTAATATTCTCCCATGTTTTTCAATGTCTCATTGTTTAATGTATAACATTCATTTACAAAATTTATTTTGAAGATTTCTGTCTTCTGGGTTCTTGCGCTGTGTAGTCTGGTCGACGTTAACCAACGTTTCAGAGGTCATACTGCCTCCATCATCAGGGCGATGAGTCTGAAGATTTCTGTCTTCTGGGTTCTTGCGCTGTGTAGTCTGGTCGACGTTAACCAACGTTTCAGAGGTCATACTGCCTCCATCATCAGGGCGATGAATGTTCATCGACCAGACTACACAGCGCAACGTCCCGGAAGACAGAAATCTTCATACTCACCGCTGTGAAAACCTCAAATCTTACAAAACTTATTTTACCTGTTTTAATTCTGGTGTTAATACGCTACTGGCACTAACATTTCTTGAAAATCTGATGACATAATCCTGTAAGGTCTTTAATGTTTTATTAGGAAAATATCTAATAACCAATGAAGTTAGTAACATGAAAAGTAAATGCCATTAGTTTTTGTTCACAGGTCGGGCAGTGGCATGCCAGGTGGGCGAGTGGGAAACCTGGTCACCGTGCAGCGTGTCTTGTGGCATCGGAGAGTCCGTAAGAAGTCGACAGGTTCTGAAACGCTCCCGCCGGGGGGGTCAACCTTGCCCTCCTCTGACTGAGACCAAGTGGTGCGGTGAACACACGGCCTGTCCTCAAAGGTTTTTCAACTGGTGACCCTTCTTCCACACTGCATACTAACGACAAAACGAGCAATTGAAAACACTTCTAACCAAAAAGTCAGATTGGAGTCTACTGGCTTTCTTGTTTGAATGCAGACACTGCACTGATGTTTGATGTTCAGATGGTGCTGTGGTGAAGCTTGTAAGGTGTGATGGAAGATGGGAGGGGTCAAGAAACTGCCACTGCTTTTTGTAGCAGTGCTTGACTCTAAATTACCAGACACACACATAAAATGCCTATCCTGAACAGTTCATAAATGTGAGTTGTGAAAAAGGAAATCCTTCTTCTTTTTCTGGCTTAACAATGTTTGTACATTTTCCGGTACCCTTTTACGGGTCCCAAATTTTTCATTAGCTTTGATCTATAGACATTTGGTAGGACTCCTTGGACGAGGGATCGGCCCGTCGCAAGGCCTCTACCTGTACACAGGACAGCACGACACAGAAAAAATCCATGGCTTGAGTGGGATTAGAACCCACAGTCCCCACGACCAAGCGGCACAAGGATAAAGGAAATACTGGTCTTCAAAAAAATCTAGGGTCACTGCTTTGAAACTTCCTGATATGTGAGATATTTCATTACGGAAGGAAATCCACTCATTTTCATATCTACGTAGTTAATGAAAGATGTGAGGTTGTCATGGCAACAAGTATGTCTGGGTTGTAGTGCTGTGTAGTTGTATAGTTGATGATTTACTTTTATGTTTTGACCAGCTATTTCTCTTCTTATTTATGACAAATCATGTTTTTCTACATGTAACATGATCTCATATGAATAATATAAATGTAATGGTTTACGCAGACGCTGAAGGACTGGTTCGAAAGGTTTAAAAATCAAGATATTGGTCTTAGTCCTTCATCTAAATGTTCTTACAAATGTTTTGGCATGGCAGAAGAAGAGATGATATGAAGATTTCTGTCTTCTGGTTTGTTGCACTGTGTAGTCTGGTCGATGACGGAGGCAGTATGACCTCTGAAACGTTGGTAAACATCGACCAGACTACACAGCGCAACAACCCAGAAGACAGAAATCTTCATACTCACCACTGTGAAAACCTCAAATCATACAAGAGACGACACGGTTAACATAAAAATTATTTGTCAAGAAGTAAGGTTAACATGATGAGTAAACTGTAAAGGAAAACAGCAATCATTAAACAGGTCAGCCTTCTAGTTCTTTTTGCTGTAGTTCTCATAAAGTCAATCAGAGTAACCTGAAATTCCATACTGTTTAAGAACTGCCAATATTTTACTAACCCTTTACGGCTCAAATTATTGATATAGAAAACTTGTAATGGGTTCCGTTTATTTTATTTCAATTTAAAATGTGGACTGGAACTTGATTGCCCTAGTGATTAAAACTATTGTAAAGAATCACATCCAAGGGCAAATTTATTTGAACAATTAAGAAACGACATTGTTTTTAAATGTGGACTGAGTCAAATTGAAACTCTGAAAAGGTTAAGGTAGACTGGCACAGTGAGGTTTTATTTAAATATTGGGCTACCAGCCATGTTAGTGGTTGAATGGAGAAAACACCAACTGAATTTCAGTACCCTGAGGATGAGGATGGTTCTTGAAATGTTGGTGTTTTCTCCATTCAACACCCTGACATGGCTTGGTAGCAAGAGAAGAATTCATTATACTTAGTCACCATGAGAGCTTCAGATCATACAAATATCCATTGCTTCTGCTTTTGTTTCTCGTCGTGTTTCAGCATAAAATGTTTTAAAATATGATTTATAATTTTATGCATTGTTTTGGCATCTTTTCTTTTTCCTTTCATAATGTGATTATTTGAGAAAATTATTGCCTTGATCTGTACATAAATTTTCCTTCTGAATTTACCTCACTTCCCAAATAAGCAAATTTCTCTACCTCTTTAACCAATGTCTCATTAACTCTTATTCTGACTCTCTTTGAAACTGTCAAATTCAAAAGTGATATGCATATATTAATGTTATGATGCATTGCCTTCTTTTGTCTCGTCTAACATTAACACAGTTTTGAAAGTATTATTACTGTCTCAGCTGCACTGAAGTCCCTTGTGGTAAGTAGACTGGTGAAAAGCAGGTGTAGGCATGATCAGGTTAAGTAAGCATAAAAATTCATAAACAATTTATATTCAAAAAATATTAATTTTGTTGTCATATTGGTGAACTTCCTAAGATATGATGTAAAATATATGTACCTTATGACAGGTTTTATAGAAGTTATATTTTCGTGTAAATCAAAAATATACTAGAAGGTTGGTTATCATTCACTTCACAGATAGTTTGATTTTTAATAAACTTAACCTCTTCTTGCCCTGGTAATGTATTGAATGGTTGGATGACCATGAAAGACGAATTTGAAAGTAAATGGATGGAATAGGTAATTTAAGGCAGTATACTGTACCAGTATTTGTCTGGAAGGTGGCCTAACATAACCATGAAAACCACAAGTTTGGTCCCATTTTAAAGATTTGAACCGGATAAACACAGAAAGGTCAATAAATATTGTGCAATTACATAACACGGAGTTAACATCTAAACCTGATATTCTTAACAATATAAATGTAATGTTAACGAGTTTCTAAGCAAATCGAACGACGACTATACTGTACCTCACAATTGCAGTCGTGTAGTTGATGTCATTAGATACTAATTTACCTCCTGGGGGTGTTCCTATGCTAAATGAAAGAGCCTGAATTTAATTCCTAGTCAAATGGTTGCTATAACAGACATTAAAATAAAAAGAACAGTTGTTTTGCACTTTGTTATGACTGTGAAAGATTAGATAGGCGTGACATTTAGCGAGGTGGCGTATTAGCTGGGTAAATTTCTCCTCGCTGCCAATCTCAAGTTTGTTCCGCAAGTCGATTTTGACGAGTCATGAAGCAAACCTGGCTGTATCAATCAAACCTTGCCCGGTTCTGAAACGGAGAAAGAAAACAAGATGGAGACATAGGAAATAATACGTATTTTTGTTAGTTGGACAATTCACATCGGAAGGGTGGGGCGGATGAAAGTGAATATTTTTCGTGTCTTGCAGTAACGTCAGTGGCGAAATTTCATCTAGTGACATATTTAGAGTGTAAAGAAAATGAGTGCTTGACGTAAAGGCTACTACACAAATATTTAGCCTGTTGTGTCAGTTGAGTTAAACGTGTCATAAAAAAATAATTGCCATTTTTCCCTTCAGTAATACGAAACTATATGACGTAAGTGGGAAAGATAGAATGTGCCTAGTGAGGACGTATTTAGAACTGAAAACTGTTGAAAGGCATTGTGTAGGACGTTGATAAACAGACAAACCTAAATATCGGTAAGTGAATGGATCCTGTCCTCCAGTGGTCGCAGTTTCCAGGCAAGTTCGTCTCGCTTCGTTCTGCAGCCGGCATATATTCATCACGCAACAATGAAGCAAAGAATGGTAACGTTGAAACATTATTTAATCATATAATTACACAATATCGGCACTTGTTAGAGAATGTTAACAAAATAACTCCAGTAAAATTATGCAATATGCAGTAGTGCAATAACGCACTAAACAGTGGTTGAGTTGTGTAGGCCTAATAAGTAACGGTATTGTGGTGTAATAGGCCTAATTTTCCGGTAATTCTTTTAAAGAAGGCCTCAGGTTCTGAAAGGGAAGTAGCGAAATACTAAACTACGGCTTTGGAAGAACAGTATACGTAACAATTATAATCATTAATAGCAATTTCTGTCTTTGTTGTATGCTCACAATCTTATGACCATTTACAAATACGACCTTCACTCGCTCGTTTGGCATTATGCACTATTTACAAGCAGATATATCCAGCTGCGAAGTTAAATATTTTTATCCAGCAAGTTCAAGTTAGACGACAGATTTGTTTAAGCTACTTTTACACTGATAAAGAACGAAATCTTCGACTACCTTTTGGGTGGGGATATTCTGAATGTACACAGTCGTGCACAAGCGGATTTTTTGTGGACACTACATTTATTTTTGTTGTTATTCAGTATGTTTATGAAAAACATAGCCCATGTTAACTTTAATAGTTATTTACGAAATATATCCATTTTTTTGTATTTATTAAGATTAAAGTGATGCATTTTAGAACTCAGGAGCCTACCTTGGATTTTAATGATTGATTTATTTTCGGCCAGCAGAGAAAACATAAATGTTGACTTTAATAACGTGAAATTATTTCCTTAGATATGTAAACACATTGAGTTTTATTATAAAATAATTCAACTTGAACAAAATTTTGAAGTTAAATAATATTTTGTAGCAATAATTGGTGGTATGCATTATAAATGCACAGATAATTACACATAATACGTACTAATGATAATGGATGTCACAACCCCTTTTAGATCCGAGTGATAGATATAAGTAATTTCTTAAGAACGAACTATTTTCTGAGCAACGGGGGTGGCAACGTTTTTCAAACACACAATAAATTGTTTTTGTTCGTCTGTTTTGTCGTATACTTCAAGTGTTTACACTTCTTCGTCTGCTCCTGGTAGAATTGAGAATTACAAATTACGATGTAATGCATCCGACCGAGTTCAGAGTCTGGAAGTGTCAAACCCAAAAGGAAAATAGATGTTAACATAAAGTTGATTTCCAAGTGTTTCATGAGTTATGGAGTTCGTAGTTCCTGACGGCAACGTCGCTCGATTTCTTTTGTCTGATGACTCGACCCAGTTACATTAAACTGGCGACATAATACTACGTTTCGGTCCCCGAACGTTGTTATACGATTTTAGGGAGAGGCTCTTTGGGACTAAGACTCAGGATGGAAAATAAGAAAGCAGCTTACAGAATGCAGTCGTGGCATATCCGACATTTTAGTACAGCGGATCGAGTAATTTCGAATAATTAAATGTCTTTGTTTCTCTGTTTTCTCTTTTGTTACCGAGTCCAAAATTTGATCATCACCAGAACAAGAGCCCTTTGCCGGATGATGTCCGTAGCCTCCACAGTCCAATTAATCAAACACGAGGAAAATACAGAATGCGTGTATCGCCGAAGGCGGTGGTAATTTCCAACATTTTCCTTTTGTAGTTTCTGATTTCATTGTAATTTAGTTTTTTGACAAATGGAACATGTGTCAAGAATGATTGCGTTAATTTTCAATCACCCTGTGGAATGCCTCACTATTGTGCAGCAAAGTATTCTCTTGCGATTGGTCGTTTCAGAATAGAATTAGTTTCCGACGTTTCGGAGATTATATCTGTTTCCATTATCAAGGATCCCTCAGAATACTTTATTTTGGCCTCAAATCGTGTATGTAACGTCAGACGTCTTTCAGATGCTGTTGCGTCGCTTTAAATGTTTGGCCAACTTCATCACGAGAATGAAGGAGGCGAAATATTTCCTGTGTTGTGGTGTATTCTGCCATGATTCTAGATTCGGTCTTTGACCATGCCTGTCAAGGTTGAAGACAGAAATTTACATTTGTAATGGGAGCGCCAGGGGGCATGGTCTCCGTTTTATTCGCCATGGCAGAATAGTAATGTAGATGAAGAGTAAAGTTAACAACATTTTTGTCCTGATTAAATTTATGAAACCTCGACAAGCGGGAAAGGGGGAATTCCAGTTCCTGTATTTCGAGAATAAAATGTTCAGAGGGTAGCAGAGGTTGTCTGAATTCCACAGTCTCCATTTTAAAATATCTGGGACGAGAAGAAGAGAATTCTCTATTAACAGAATTAATTAGGAAAAGCTGTTGTAATGACTGGACTAAAATTGTGTATTCTGTGTTTGTAAAACACGACGTAGCCTTCGTTAAGGAAATGTTTTAAAATTCCACCCGGAATGAAACCCTGGATATGCTGTTGGTTTGTTTAAGGAGGTACGGGCCCTGACACGTCCGAATTCTTTGTTTCATTGTTTTTTAGATTTAATTAGTTTGTTTATTTATTTACTTAGTGCCTGTCTTAACTGTGCAAGATGTAATATTTTCGCTAAAAATTACTCATACACTGGAAAGAGTTTTGTGAAGTTCGATGTAGTCCAACTATTAAATAATTTATTTTAATTTTCTCTTTTTATTAAATAATTTTGTTGTAGATCGTAAGTTGTGCGATGAAAGTCTGACTTTTATTTATTTGGTTAAAAGTTCGATTTTCTTGAATTCTTTAAAGCACAGTATTAACTATGTATAACATCTGCTTTAAGAGTCAGTAACTCTCTATTTTGTAACTGAATTTTCCGATGTTAGGTAGACATATTTTTCTGCGCAGAAATTTCAAGTAATAAGTGACTGATTTATCGATTGATCTACGGTTTTCGTATAATTCTCAACGTATACAGATATTTTTTTCCTTAACCAGCCGATCTTTGTAATGATGAAATGTGGTGCTTTTCCTTTCTTTTTGAAGTACGGACTGAATTCTAAATATCAAGAGAGTTAAGTTGAAATATCACTCTCTCTTCCGTTTTGTCTTTGTAACAGCATCCGGAGGCTTGTAAAGCTACCTTCGCTGCAGAAATCGCATTCTACAGAGTCGGGACTTAATTTAAATATTCGCCACACTGATTATGTTTTAGACAAGCATTGTCGATGTTGTTATTCTGGATTTTAACGCAGTGTAGACTTGTAGGTAGATACCAAAGTTTCGGAGGAACATACTGCCTACATCTTTAGGAATGAAGATGCAGCCGGTATGTTACAGGTCAGGAGACCAAGCTCAAATTTTCTTACTGAAATCTGTATTATGGGTGATGTACGAATGTTTGTAATTATTGATCATTTTTAAAGAATGGAAGAATGTTAATTTGAGCTCTGCGTAATATAAACTATTTTTCTAGTGTGGGACATCAAACAGTAGAAGGAAACAGTCGCTTATGTGATAAACGGAGAGGAATAGTCTTGTTGAATTAGCGGAATTTACAAACACTAGCATGATTATTTTGAAACAGGTATCATAATAAATTAATTTAATTCGGCAGTAGATGTACACATTATAAAGCAATTTTTATGCCTTTATATATTTTACTTTATAATTGGCAAACAAATAAATAGCTTAAAAAAACACTAGTAGGTCCATACGACAATGAAAGCAATAAACTAAAAAGATATAGGCCTGTACAGTTCTGAACCGTACAGAATGCCCAAAATAAATGTATACTCACATACAGTGAATGAAACAAATACAGTTTAATAGACTAAATCATTTCATACGTCATCAGCATTGGCACGAATTGAATTAGCGAATCTAGTGTAGGTGTTATAAATGACCACCGTTAGATTCGTGCCACAGTTGGCAGCAGTGAGTAACTGATCGACAAACGGGCACCAAAGATGCTGCTGAGTATACACATTTTTGGGACACTCTGTAGTTGACTCACAACTTGTGCGATCTTCCATAACTTACATGTTTCGCGCTTTAAACGCAATGTTTAAAGGCGCCGAAGTTATGCAAGATAAATTAGTCACGAATACATTAAGGCAATACTGTTTGGGATATTTAACAGAGCACAGATATTGTTGAATTTTTGTCGCATCGAGTTTCCCACTAACGTGAATACTACTCCATAATTTAACTTCAGAAGTAAAGAGTTTTGATATAACAAAAATACCACAGAATGATTCTTCCAGATATAAATTAACCAATAAATAGCTTTTATACAGTATGCTCTTGAAATGTAACTCACTTCAGCTTTAGCGAAAAATAATTGTAGCATAATTTTTGTTTCCTTGACGTCATGTTCGTTGAAACGTTTGCTCTGTAGATGTCACTAATCATGTTTTGCGTCATTTTTGTTGTTTCACTGTTCAGAGCTTCCAACGCATTTCAGAGTCAAATTTAGTCTGAGTATTTTCAACCAAAGAGTCCTTAATTAAATTAAATTTATGCCACAGAATGTTCATTTAAAATTTGAAACTATTGCTCTTGAGATATTTGCACTGAAGTGACGTGACGGACTGGCCAAGACAAAGTGATGTTTGTTCTGATGGCTAACTCATCAATGGCGTAGTCGTGTGGAAATACCTTCTGTCAGGGACCTGCGAAACAATGGAAATTGCAAATAACTGCAACAATATTATTTGGAACTAATTAGTATTTAGCCTAAGAATTAATTCTGAAGTACTAATGGTTTAGAAAAATTTTACGGCCCATTTAGATAAAAAATAAGCCCATAAACTTACAATAGAGAAAAACTCGGGCAAACATCAACCATCATACTGTGAGAGAAACAGAAGATCGTTATATATAGGCATTGCTTTAGATCATAGGCCAAGCTGCATTTTTGTAATATTTGTGTGGGCCTAAGCACAATAAAATAATTTATTGTTATGAGGAAGATTTAAATCGTACAAATTTTTCCTTCACCGAATATTTATAACCATCGCTCAAAAATTAATTAAACTGTTCACAGGCAGGATAATCCAGAGGTTTATCGCACCATATCGTCCTAGTTTGTTTCCCTAAAATTAACTTTAAATGACTTTCCCATCTTTCATCGTTCTAAGGTCGGAATATCGAAATCAATGAATATTTCTCAGAATGTATGTGTATTTGTATGCATTTTATGGAGATACTAAATTCATTCTGGCCAGCGAATGGTTAGTTAGTAGCGATTAAGATAGGTTTAGGACCTTAATTAATGTGGTATTAGAAATTATTCAATGAATAAACGTATTGGTAGTAATTAACACAAATACTATTAGGTGTACATATTAAGTTTAATATAAACTACTACACCCAGCCTCCTCTACAATGGGTACCGGGGTCCTTTCCCGGGGGTAAAGCCGGCCGGTGCGTGATGCTGACCACTCACCCCCATCTAGTGCCGGGGTCAAGGAAGAGAGGAGCTATACCTCCACTCACCCCAAACGCCTACATGCCGTATAGTGGGACAAACTTTACTTTACTAAACTACTCAAATTACTCTCGAAACATAAAACGTGATTTATACTTATCTAAATTTAAATCTCTCCTGAAAATGAATTGGTTTAAATAGAAATTAATTGCTTCGGCAGAAGTAGTTTAATTCTGTTACACACAGTTTTATTCAATTTGGGTTCAGCTGTTCGGGCCCACTTACGTGAATGTTCGTTACATGCTTCAAGGATTTGAACCAAGAACATTGTATCGACAATGACATTCATCCCCAGTGATTCTTCAGAGTGCAGATGAAGTAATGTTTTCTGTACCTTGCGATGGACAATCGATATTTGCACTCACCTGTTGTGCTGCTGATGGCGGAGGGCTCTGCATACGCTGGCTGTATTGCGAACCGTTGAGTGAAATATTCTCAGCCGCCGCGTTCTTGTCTCTGAAAGTCAGCACACGGCTGTATTTAACCATTTTACCCCCTGAACCATCTCCAATCCAATAAACTGTCTGGACGGCGCCTCGGCCGGCAAGATAGCGTGTAGCACTACCAACAATCATGCTGACCTGTTTCTTTGTAATTGTACAGAGGCTGTGTAGCTAGCTCTGTTCGTCTGATGCAGATTAATGGAGAACAAGAGATATTTATATGCAAACAAAATCACTTGATTATCGATGGCTCGTACTGACGCACTTTGATGAAGGGCAGAGAAATGAAACAGCTGTTGTGTACGAGGAAATTTGAACGCAATATTGTACTCTGCCCTATTTAGTTGGTCGGTTTATTTCCTGACACTCTCTCTCTCTTTCTCTGAGTATCGCGACTTCTTCGCTGACCCTTGAAGTCTGACTCAGACGTAAGTCATTTATCGTGTTATTCCATTAAATCAGTTGCCTCATTACAGATGTTTCTTATGTCTCATTGCAGCAAGGGATCAGTGTTTTCTTCCTATGATTATCTATGAAGATGACAGGACGATACAGGCAGTATGTTCCTCCGAAACATAAAGTAGTCGGGGGAAATCTATGGGCTCGACGTTCGCTATAAAACGTAAGGGAATGAGAGGGGTGGGAATGGGAAAGGAAACATTCACTGTTCATGTTATAACAATTATTGGCCAGCGGCATTGGTTTTGCAGCTAGCTGTCTCAGTTTCTAATGTCAGTAATGTCTTTGGTTGACGTTGTCTGTGCGTCTTTTTTCCTTCTACCCACAGCTATAGCCACGGTGGTCTAGCGGTTAGAACGCTGGCCTTGTAATCCTGGGGTCTCGGGTTCGATTCCCGGCGGTGCCCGAATTTATAACTTGTGTTGGGCAAGGCCGTGGTCTAGGCAACACGGAGTTTTCCTCCGTGGCATCCCAACAATTATTCCATTCACACACAGAAGAAGGCAATGGCAAACCACTTCTGGATCATCTGCCAAGAACGCATATGAACAGGTCCCAGTCCGAGAAAAGGATGGAAGGATCCTGTTCATATGGACCTGTCGTCAGACAGAACACTAAATAAATAAATAATAAACCCACAGCTAGTGAAGTAGGCGAAACGTGTAGTTTGGTCCCAGATACTATGCACATACTCATAAGTGTGGACTGTGTTGCAACCCAGAAGGCCAACACTGATCGGATCTTTCAGGTTTAATCATGGAATTGAATGAACAAAGAGGTTTGTAGTGATTTAATGTAATTGTTCAACGGAAACTCTAAACGCATGTAAATGGCGAACTGACAGACACTCTACGCCCCCCCCCCTCCCAAAATCGATTTTTGTATCCTTTTACTGCCACAATTAAAAGACTATTGTTTAACAACATTAATCAATTACGGAGGGGGAAGGCTCCCCACAGCTGCGTGGTTGTATATCTCGCAACCTGAACTTGGTCGGGTCCAGAAGACACTGACACGATCGTCCTTTTCAGTGGATTCAAAATGCTACTGACGCACATGAATCTGGCAGACTTTGTTCGTGACCTTCGGAGCGAATGTCAAGGATTTGGGTACAATTTATGACGTCTGTTCTGTTTGGCATGCTTCAGTCTGTATGGCGAGACTACCAAGTACTATAAAAGAATGACTGGAATAGAACTCGGACACATTTTCGGGAGTTTTGACCCAGATATGATCTCCTCCTGGGCTCAAGAAATAAGCACGCCAAGTTTGGTGCAAACCGGTATATCTGTTCTTGAGCTATAAGCGAACAAATACACAAACCCAGAATTTGAGCTTCGTACGAAGAATTGTGTAGGAGAGCTTCAGTGGGTTAATTCAAACCAAACATTCGTACGTGCTGTTTAAGTCTTATTGATATGAAACAGCACAGCTCCGTGTTGTGTCTGGGGAATATTTCTATATGTCTGGGCACGTTAGAATGATGCGTGCCGTGTGGGTGTTTTGAGCCGAAATGCAACGTGACCATTTTAAGTTGTTTCAGCATGGAAAGCGGGTGTATAAATAAAATGTACGGGACTGAAATTACTAGAAATTGAATTTCTCGTATTTTGCATGCCTTTCAGACCTTTGTATTTCGTTTGTTCTGTAATACGTTTTAAATTAACCCCTTTCACAGACTACAAAGTGCACGTTCGTTATATTATACCGTGTGCTGGTTTCCAAAACAATCCACGAACACCTAACAAAAGAGAAAGTTTAATTCAATACTAATATGGGGAATCATGGTAATTATTCAGTGTCACTGAGGGAATTGTTAATGATTTTAATTTCAGTTATTATTTTTATAAAATTTGTAAATGAGTGACAGATACTTTTATTGAATGCCGTGCGTGTTAAAATTGAATTTCATTGATCTCTCACACAAAGGGTGTGTCGATGTATTCTCGTACAAAGGAAATTAGTATTAGAGTTCTACTAAGTAATTGTGTCTCCATTATTGAAACCGCGTGTTGTTTCAAAAAGAAATAATGTGTGACAGTTGTGAGTTTGGGGATTTAATACACAATTCGCCAATAATATTAGCTACTATAACTGAGTTCTGGATTTTGTTCGTCGTCTGGTGTTCTTAAAAAAACACAACGTTTCGGAAATTAGATATTTCTCTGTCCTCAGGTACATGCCAGTGGCGAATACTCCAGTCTGGCTTGTGGTAAATCTCCAGATCATTAAAATTGGAAGAATAAAAAATAAACTAGCCTAGTATGGCCCGTGAAATTTGATGAGAATGAGCTCCTTTGTGAATATAGTCATACAGTTTATTGCATTACCATATATAAAGTTCGTATTGAAGGTATTACGTTTATAGCATTTCTTTATAAAGTAAAAATAGGCCGAAATATGAAAACATCTCGACGGCGACTGTGGCCAAGCAAGATCTCGTCAAACGCACACCCACACAACCGACCGCCTGACTTCAGACGAACGCCGCCAGATCCCAACATAGGCGCCACCACAGCATTGCTTATATTTATTGCTACCAGAGACATCGCTGTCAGAAATGTAATTAAATATTCTTTCCGCATATAGTCAGGTGTGACGGACATTGGATATTATATTGGGTATAGGTGCTTTACTGTACAACACAACAGTGACATATTATTATTAATAATAATATTAATATTCCATTTATTCACCACTTTATAGAGTATTTACTTCCGTGTACCCGAGACAAACCTTGTCTCTAAGATACATTGTGAAGTAGCTTTTTCCGAAATATATTTTGTTTTTAATACGTGTTACGTGTATTATATAGTTTTATTGTGAGGGATGACTACATATTTTACGATAGCGTCTTTCAAATGATGTATGAAGTTCCTAAAATGGCAGTTTTCTGCAGTTCCCTGATGTTGTGTTGGCCCGGAATGTTGGCCAAATATTTTCTAAGTGACTTGGAGACGGTTCCAGCTGCTCCTATAATTATTGGAATTATTTTAGCTTTCACTTTCCACATTCGCTGTATTTCAATGATAAGATCCTTATATTTCAAGATATTCTCCGCTTGATTATTTGGGGAATTTAATAATGTTCTGTTTCCGCATGACCTGACTTCAAGACCAGGATTTGAACTAGTGTATTTAAATAGCTGAAGAAGAAACGTACTCCATTGATTCTTGTATGCCGTCGCGGGGTTATGTTTGTTCGTATAGGGAACTTTAACGTAGTCTTTGACTAATCAATGTAAATAATTTAATTTCTTGCGCCATAGGCTAGTGACCTGGCAGGCCAGTCTGTCTGTACGCATGCGACTTAAAAAATGCTGTTTGAGAAGGAAACAAAATTTTACTGCTCGCAAGTACCAGTCACTTCGGTATTGGTCAGCTTTACATAAAGAATTAAAGAAGCCTGGAATATGTTGTTGTGCACACATTCGACATTGTATGACAGCACACATCTTTCGTACTATTTAACGCCGTGGCGCCGAATGACGACCTCTTGTAAATAAGTCCATATTTACGTGTTGACATAACAATTGCTTACGCAAATCGCTTTATGCATTTACCTTAAATTATTATTGTAACAATACCAGGCAAACTAGACGCAGGGAAACATGGAAATATAAGAATTTCATAATTATATGCAATTCCGTGTGAGTAATAAATGTATTGGATTCATCTGGCTGACTTCCTCAGCGTTTAATTAGGCTAGCTTCTGAAGAAGGACTCTGCGCCGTGAAGTTAGTTAGAATCTTCGTGTAAATTTTCTGTTTTACGATGAGAGGTACCGGTGAGCTATTTTAGGAAACTAATGTCTGGATTCACTCCCACATAGAAACAGACATAGAAACGGCTCTTTGTTCCAAAATATCTACTTTAAATTTAAACTATTCTCTGCACTGAATGGATTTGTTTGTATTCGTACCTGAAAAGCTTGAGCGTTCAGCTCACCCCTCCATGTCCACTTTCATTCCAGTGGGTGAAATGTTTAAAAAATTACAAGAGAGAGAGGAACTCATGTTGCGTTCTGACATTTCCTCCAAAGCCTCAGTGACATTGTTTATAATAAGTGAATTACTCTGTTGCTTCATCCGTCACATGAAAAATGGAACGAGTTTGTTTCGCATTGTATGAACTGCTACGGCCTGAGCTTATTTCTTTCTGCCTTGGTAGCCCACGAGATAATTCGATACTGAATGAATGCTAAACGAGTTCTATTGAACAAACAACAGCTTCCTTCTCAGAGTAACCGATAACATATCAAACAGTTTGTCTGATCTGTCAGCAGAGAATATTTTGTTTGCTACTTGATGTAGTTTATTACGTCAGCAGTTTGCTCGTAGCAACAAGACGGAAAACTTTACTCGAGTGGAGTAAACTTAAAATGCGTTATTGTATTTTCTGCATGCCTCATTCGCCTTTTCCATCTTCGTTATTTTCACGGTTTCCGACTAAAAATTCTGCATGCATTTTGACATCTACCATGCGTGCTACATGCCTCATCCACGATTCTCTACTTGATTTGAATAATGTATTAGTATTTGAAAAAAGACGAAAGTATTTTTACATGCGGTAGCTATGTAGACATTGCTTATATGCATACAGTGTATATTTTTTTGTAGATAAACACACGTTCCTATCAAAAAATATTTTTTTCTGTTAACATATTTCATTTCTAATTCTGGATACATGAACTTTGAAAGTTCAAAGTTCACTGACGTCTAAAGGAGAAATTATATTTCTGTAACTC